TAGTCCTCAAGTTACAACCACAATCATTGTCACTCGAGACTTAACCTGTCTTCGTGGTTTCAACCTGAACCATTCCTTAAAATTGTTCTCCTTGCCGGTAAGACTAAAATCCGATGCTGTCTTCTCTTTCCAGAGAGCAATGCGGTGTCACCATAGCCAGATGCTCTGGTTCCGCTATCTCTACGTGAGGTTCTCGCGCTACATGGTGATCAACTCACTTCGCTTCCTCTAGTGGGGGAAGAGAGATTTTGGATGAACCAGAGACTCAGAGAGGAAAAAAAGGAGGAAGACGGGACTCTCTAGGTGCCGGCCGAGCGGAAAAACCAAGCAGGACCAAGAAGAAGGGCCTTCTCCGTGCTGGCTCCTTCCCTGTGGAAATAAGATTGGAAACAAGATGATATGGGCTGGGGTGGGATTCAAATATCCCAACAGCCAGTTCTCTGCCAGTTGCTGGGTGGGCGTGGCCATGGTGGGTGTGGCCTACCGGAACTTCCGGGAGGGCAGTTTTTCACCTTTCCCAGAGTCCGGAGGCTTCCCTCAGGCCTCTGGGAGGGCGAAAACAGCCTCCCCTGGGCTCCGGAGGCTCTTCAGAAACCAGAAACGGGCCCGTTCCGGGACTTCCAGAACTTCCAGTTTGGCCCATTTTCCCCCTCCCAGAGCCTCCATGCAGACCCTGCATGTAGACCCTCATCGAGACCCCTGGGAGGGGAGGGTGGGTGGGTGAAGCCAGGCGGTCGGTTCAACTACTGGTTCGGCGAACCAGATGTAAATTTAACACCCGGTTCATCCGAACCAGCCCGAACCGGCTGAATCCCACCCCTGATTATGGGTCTCCTCTCTTTAACAAGATCCATCTGGTGGGACCAAGAAGAAGGGCCTTCTCTGTGGTGGCTCCTTCCCTGTGGAACATCATACCTGAGGAGATAAGATTGGAAATAAGATGTTATCGGTCCCTTCTCTTAAGGTGTCATGCCCCCATCGGAGTCTGAATCTGAGGAGGAAGACGAACAGCCATCAGGGAGCGGGGGAGGGCTTACGGGGGAGGAAAGGGCCCTGATTCCCTTCACAAGGCACACCTGGGGAGGGAGTTTAAAGGAGAACCAGTTGGGAGGAGGGGTTGTCGGGATCAAACGTTGAGTTTGTCTAATGTTGGCTGCTGTTAATCTGAGTTCCTGTCATCCTCCCACCTGGTTGGATTTACTGTCGTGTTATTTCACTTCCGGAACTCCGTATCTTGCTCTGCCGGATTTATTACCTTATTTTGCCTTGTTTAGTTTTCAGTTTACAACGTTTGAACTAGAATACCAAAGGCTGTTGCAGGTTCGGGGGAGAGTTTTTCTCTAGACCGGAAGGTAACCGGGTCATTGGAGGCAAAGTTGGAGCTAATAAAGGGACCACTACTTATTCTCTGGCTGTGTTGCCTTTGTGCCACGCCCCGGGTCATCACATAAGGAGGTCCATCTGGTGGGACCAAGAAGGGCCTTCTCGGTGGTGGCTCCTTCCCTGTGGCACATCATCTCTGTGGAAATAAGTTTAACTCCCTCACCTTGATACTCTTTCACAAGACCCCGAAGATGTGTTTTTTTTTTCCAGTGGACCTGGGGACCCACATCAAATGGCACTTTTGACTAACTGCTGTCACTGGGGAGGTGTGTGATTGCGGCAGTGTACTTCCACACACGTTTTGTCAAGTTCTTATGATGATAGAAGCACAAGGAATCATTACACGTACCTCAACTGTACCGTGGCGGCGCAGTGGTTAGAATTGCAGCATTGCAGGCAAACTCTGCCCACTGCCAGAAGTTCAATCCTGACCTTCTGGCTCAAGATCGGCTCAGCTTTCGGTCCTTCCGAGGTCTGTAAAGTGAAGACCCAGATTGTTGGGGGCGAGATGCTGACTCTGTGAAACGCTCAGAGAGGGTCGTAAAAGCACCGTGAAGCAGTATGGAAGTCTAAGGGCTAATGCTAATTCCTTCAACTTTAGCGTGAAGAAACAGAACATAGAATCGTAAGGCTGGAAGGGATCTCAAAGGTCATCTAGTCCGGTGATCACCAACCGGTGGGCCACGAGAAAATTTTGGTGGGCCCCCGAGAAATCTCACCCCCAGAGCACACACACCCCCCAAAGCAATTAATCCAGGCTGCGCAGAAACTCAAGGCCGCGCCGCCCATGACCTACTCACTCCTTACCCAGCAAACTTGCCTGCTAAATTGGTTATTTTTCCTTTTTCCAACCATCAGCTGTTCTGCTGTGCCGGGAGATTTAGATTAGCTAGGAAGCAGGAAATGGTTAGATTTCTTGCTTTCTAGCTAGTCTTTAGATCTTCGGCTCTGCTTTTAAGCACAGCCGAACCTCCCTTAGGACTGAAGGTTCTGTTATTCAGTGCTGACTCACGGCAAGCAAATTGTATGTGACAAGACTGAGCTAGCCAATGGCGGATAGATAGATCACTGAATGATTCTGTGAGCAATTCAATCTGCCTGCCTGCTTTGCCTGATTTTGGGTAAAAGTTGCTCTTTTTTTATTTTAAAAAAATCAATATTTATATAAATATATTTACATATGAGCCATGCCCAGCCAGTCACATAACCACCAAGCCACACCCACAAATTAAGCCATGCCCACAGAACCAATTAGTGGTCCCTGGTGTCTAAAATTATGAGTTTGGTGGTCCCTGAGGTCCAAAAGGTTGGCAATCCCTGATCTAGTCCAATCGCCTACTTGAGCACAATACTGTATACAATTCCTGACAAAATCGCTGTCCGGTCTCTTCTTGAAAGCCTGCAGTGATGGAGAACCCACGATTTCTGGATCCACTTGGTTAATTATCCTGTCTGGAAGTTTCTCCTTAATTCCAAGTTGCTTCTTTTCTGGATGAGTTTCCATCTTCTGTTTCTTGTTCTGCTTTCAGGTGCTTTGGACAATAAATTGACCCCACCCTCTTCTTTTGGGGCAGCACCTAAAATATTGGAGGATGCTATCACGTCACCCTTAGTCTTTTCTCTTTTGTTAGGCTAAGCTTACCTAGTTGCCTTTACTGTTCATCAGACAGCTTAGCCTCCAGACCCCTGATCCTCTTTAACAGAATACAGAATTGGAAGGGACCTGTGAGGTCTTCCAGTCTAACCCCCTCCTACCATTTCAGACAAACGGTGGTCCAGTCTCACCTTAAAAACTTCCCGCGTTGGAATACCCACGACGTCTTCCTTGCTCTTCTCTGCACACTTTGTGTATCGTTGCCTGTAATCTTAACTACTACGCTGTGTATTTCGCACGAGGATGGGGGAACATTACATTCCTTCTTCCCCTTCGAAATGAATCCAAATAAAAAAGACAAACGTTTTTAAAAATATGTGGTTTTTTTTATTTTTATTTTTTCAAAACAAGAATTTCCTCAAAAGTGAGAAGTGTCGTTTGAGACAAAGCAACAGCATTCATACCTAAAACGCTGAACCTGAAAACTGAAATAAAGACACTTTAGGCATTCACACAATACACAAAAGACATTTCCCCACCCCGTAGGACAAACTTAAGTTTTTTAACGCCGGACACCTCCGGCCACTCGGTTAGCCATAGGTCAAATTAAGACTGTCATAAAAAGGGGTCCCCAAGAGAAATTGTTCCAAGCACCATGATGGATCAGCGGCTCCTTCAAATTAAAAAAAATAATAATTCTTAAGAATCTATTTTTCTTTTAAAAATGGAGATCTTCTCCAAATCTTCAGGCTGCCTTAACTCAGCAAGGATCTCGGTTAGATGGAATCTCCTGCTTCCATTACAGGACATCGCCTTGCCAAAAAAAGGCAGGTGATTTACAGATTAACAGAATTGGAAGGGGTCTTGTAGGTCATCTAGTCCAACCCTCCACCCATGCAGGAGATCCCACACCACTTCTGACCCAGGGCAGTCCAGTCTCTTCTTGAAAGCCTCCAGTGATGAAGCTCCCACAACTTCTGTTCCATTGGTTGATTGCTTAGATAATAGAGATTTACAGATTAACAGAGTTGGAAGGGACCTTGTAGGTCATCTAGTCCAACCCCACCACCCAAGCAAGAGACCCCCACACCATTTCTGACAAAAAGCAGTCCAGTCTCTTCTTGAAAGCTTCCAGTGATGAAGCTCCCACAACTTCTGAACAACAATAACAGAATAACAAAGTTGGAAGGGACCTTGTAGGTCATCTAGTCTAACCCCCTGCCCCCAAGCAGGAGACACTACACCATTTTTGACAAATGGCAGTCCAGTCTCTTCTGGAAAGCCTCCAGTGATGAAGCTCCCACAAGAAGACATTTCGCTTCTCATTCCAAGGAGCTTCTTCGGCTCTGACTGGATGGCGGGAGCAATGATTTCAATGCTGTTGTAACTCCCAATGTCACTAAACAAAAGGTTGTAAGTCAAGGATGATCCGTAGGGCACCCTCCCCCTTGGAAATTCCTCTCTGGATCTTTGCACCATAGCAAACATGATGGTGTAGCTTTGAGCCTTCCCAATGTTTACATCTTTTTTTAAAACGCTCTTTTTTCCAAAGTAAGACAAAATATATGCCAGATCCCTGTCAGAATCTGAATCCAAGGAAGAAGCGGAGCAGTTGATAGGGAGGGTGGCTCCGTTGGCTGTGGAGGAAATTAGGGGAGGGCAAAGTCCGGCTGGGCAGATCAGGGAAGAGGTAGAACAAGGGAGAGGGAGTTCAGAGGCCTACCCCCACTTCATCCTAGGCCACGCAGGGAGGAACGGAGAAGGGAGCAACATGTGTTGCATGGCTTGCGGGGGAGAAAAGGGCCCTGATTCCCTTCATTAGCTACAGCTGGGAACACGGTGTATAAAAAAAAGGGAAGCTGCACGCAGCAAGTTGTTGGGAGCAAATGTGAATTTATCGTGTATCGTTGTGGCTTATCTGGGTTCCTGGCATCTTCCCAATTGTGTGAGTTTTGCCCTGCTTTCAAGTCAGAAAGTCTTCCTCCTGCCCTGTCAAGCTAATTTACTTCAGTTTGGTTTGGTTTGGCTTTTTAGTTATAGTTTGTATGTACCTGGTTTAGGACTGAATTTTCTACAGTCACAGGTTGTTCCTTGGGAGAGTTTATCTCGAAGGTAACCTGGACATCGGGGGCAAAACTGGAGATAATAAAGGGACTCTTATTGCTTATCTGACTGTGTTGCCTTTGTGCCACGCCCCTTTTGGGTCATCACAATATACACCTAATTTTTGTACGTGTAGGATTGAGATTGTCCCTGTTTTTATGCCGCTATTCTATCCGATGGGGGAAATAGGCAGTAGAGAGATTATTTCACACATGCACACATTAAAAAAAATGGCACCCTTTGGTTTCCTAAATGAAACCCGAATTAAAAGAAGGGCTCCTTTTCTGGTGTTGCGGAACCAGCAGAGTCACGGTTTCGACATATTCCTGATGGTTGGGTGGCCCTTGACGGCTTTCTCCCATTCTTTCCCGTTGATGGGCTCCACTGTGATCTTGGTGATGGTCCCCTCATCCAGGCAGTGGGGTGCGATTCCTGTGGGGGTGGGGGGGGAGAGAGAGAAAGAGAGAGAGAGAGAGCTGTAGCAGAAAAACAGAATTGGGACCTTGGAGGTCTTCTAGTCCAACCCCTTGCTCAAGCAGGAAACCCTATAACCAGAGGTTGGCCAATCTCTTCCTTGAACGCCTTGTCATATTTTTTTTTATTGATTTTACAAACAAACAAAACAAAACATCATTAAACATTAAAAACATAAAACCTCTTTCCATTGTAAATCTTTACAAGGCAGGTAACGTATTGTTTTATATCACGTACTTATAATTTATCCCATTTCCATATAAACACGTAAATTCCCTTTACCAAATTCCACATTGTTTCTCTTTAATCATTATTCAATCATATTTCCTGTCTAATTTATCTGCTATTCAATCATCACATTTATATTTTCCTCTGGCTTGTTTATAATTATTCTCATCTAGTCTTCCTCCGAGATTTTATTGTTTAATTCTTAATTAAACACACACACACATAAGACATAAACATAAAAACATAAAACTTTCTTCTAGAAAGTAATTTGGCCCCAGATTACCTCTTTTTGTACGGACTTCAATTGAATTCATGCTTTTCTTATATACCATTACCTATCTTGTTTACCATTCTATATCTATTATATAACTGAATGCCTTGTCATTTTTATGCCTGTTTTAGAGTTGCCACACCTCCAGTGTTGGAGCATTCACAACTTCTGGTGGGAAGCAGTTCCGCTGGTTAATTGTTCTCACTGTCAGGAAATTCCTCCTTAGTTCCAGGTTGTTTCTCTCCTGGATTAAGTTTCCAGTCATTGTTTCTTGTTCCTGCCTTCAGGGGCTTTGGAGAATAGCTTGACTCACTCTTTCTTTGGGGCAGCCCCTCAAATACTCAAACACTGCTATCAGTGTAACCCCAGTCTTTCTCTTTGTTAGGGTAAACTTACCTAGTTGCCTTTAACTGTTCATCACACGGTTTACCCCACTCACCTGTCCTGGCCACGGGGCTGCTTCTTCCTTCTTCTGCTTTTGGCTGCAGGCAAGGAAAGCAGCCAAAGTCTTTCTTTCTCTCCCCCAAACTCCCCCAGAAATGAGTCTTTGGGACCCTGCAAGGCCTCCTGCTCCAAGAGGCTCCTTTCTGGCGGAGTTTGTGGGAGAGAAAGAAAGACTTCTGCGGCTTCTGCTGCTTTCCTTGCATGAAGCCCAAAGTCTCTCTCTCTTTCTCCCCATGAAAATGGAGCTGGAGATCCCAAATAAAGAACGATCGATCGGTAGGAAAACGGGGTGAGGAGATTTTCCTGCAGGCTTTTGGGGGGATTTTCCCAGGGTCTCTGGTCCGCAGGATTTACAATTATGAGTTTGGTGGTCCCTGAGGTCCAAAAAGTTGGCGACCCCTGGAACAAAAATTCACATCGGCAGCAGTCCGAGAAAATTAAAATGAACAGGGTTGTAATAATAATAATAATAATAATAATAATAATAATAATAATAATAATAAT